GGTCGAGTACATTATGTTGTGCTGGGTAGAGAACACTCACTCCGCGCAAGGGGGATGATCGCACCACGTTGTGTTAAAATGGTCAGGCACCCTCGAGGCAGTTACACAGCAGTGCTTACAACTGTCTCTGGAAGTGAAAGCACCAGACAATAAATTAAGTCATACGCAGCTGTCATCCGTACGCAAGGAAGTAAGCACAAGATGCCGAAAACCCTTAGCTGGATGCAGCGCACCCTTCATGCGACTCGCCGAATATCTCACGGCGCTTCGCGCTTGGTGATGTGAGAGCCTGGTCCGGTGAGAACCCGGCGTGCTCCGTCCCGGCTTTGTAGGGATGCGAGGTCAATGGTCTAACGACTGCGGCAAGCACGACTACGAGTACACCCCCCCCCCTACGGATGCCATAGCGCTTAGACCCGACTTCTATGGTGAGATCCTCGCGGCATTCGAGTCCCGGCAATTTTCGCGGTCGCAATAGACCTTGTGCGTAGTGCGGAGAGTTGATTGGTTGTTGACTTCCTGAAGTGCGTCTGGCTCGTTGGCATCACATGAAGCTGCGGCGAAAACTCAAATTCATGACAGCTTCCTGAAGAACACACATGGATGCAGATTCTCGAATACCTTGACATGACCCGAATTCAGAAGGCTACAATAGCATTCTCAAGCTACCCGCCAACCCCACGCCTGCGTTGCATCTGCAGGAAGACGGCCTTCGCCGATCTTGTGAAGAAGCTCTACGGCACCACCGGCATAATCAGGAACGGTCGCAGAGGACCGCCGTTCGACCCGTGCGAGCGTGTAGCCGTGTTCATGTGGCGACTGGGTGAAGACTCCACGGTCAGGCAGACCGCCCTTCAGTTTGGCCTATGTCAGGGGACGGGATCTCAGGTGACCCTGGAGTTGGCAAGGAGGGTCCAGAAGTATCTTCGCGATGGATGCGTCTGGCGGCCTGACCCGGGAGAGCAGCGGGAGATGTCTGCAGCATGGGAGCTCAAGAAGCATCTCAGGTGGTTTTGTATTCGTACGTTTATGAGACTGTTGTCTCCAGGTTCGCGTGTGAGCAAGTTCCCTTAGGGATGGGCGGTGTGGATACACACCGGATCAACCTCTGGTGGAGAGGCTGATGTACGGAACGTTGAGTCGTGTGTGTGTGTGAGACAGGTGGGGATCAACCTTGTGTTGAAGCAAGGTTCAGCATCCAACCTGCACTGACTCTATCTGTGGTAACACCCCGAAGGTAGATCTCCGACAGGTCATCTGACGTCACAATCTACGACAGTCTGAGGTGGCATTCACATCACCCCCCTATCTTCAATCTCGGGGCCTGAATCCGGATTGAAAGATACAAGAATGACATTATGAAGTACTGATGAAAAACATGAGTCAAATTACTTGGGCCGAAACGCACGGCGACTGCCATCATTCAACGAACGCATTGTGTTTTGTAGTTATGAAATTTGGAACGTGTCACCAAAACATCTCATCCGAGCATCGATCGTACATAGCGCAGTCACCACCACAGCTTGCACGAGAGCAATTAAGGAATTTTGGCAACTATTCCCGTACGACGAACGAATAACTACACAGATGACGAAAGGTATACGGAACATGGCACTTCAGTCCGCCTCGGCGCTGTAGGCAACATGTGATCTACCGTACGACGAACGACGTGTGTACAGAAAAAAACATCACTCCGGTGCGCGTCTTGCACCGATAGTGTAAAAAAAACTGTACAGTAGTACCTTGAGACAACGCCGTGAACTGCTTGGTGGTTGCACGTAACGAACATCCAGCAACGAAAAATAATTTGACATTGCACATGTGAAAGACGGTTGCTTGCAAGGCTTAAATTTCATAAGTGTCGAATGGCAAATGACGTGGGTCGACCCGCCGGGAAAACGTTGCTCAAACGATATGCAGCGGCAACAACAACGAACGAACATATGTGCACAGCTCGTGGAGAGCTAACGATAGGACCTTCTCATGCGATCGCGCAATTGAGAGGTGCTGCATAGACGAACGACAACGAATGGTGATTACGAGTGCAGTCAACGATGTGCTGTAGCATGGATTTGACGCAGTAGTGGAACGAAAGTCTGGTCCTCTTGTGCTTCCTCTTGCACGGCCAAGACCACCATCTACTCTTTCGCGATGGACGACCCGCGAGAAACGATGTGTGGGATAAACTTTACCACACAAACGACAAGACAACTCGGGCATGAACAAAACCGTGTGAACAATGCAAAAGTGCATGGATCC